AGCTATTTATTTTGTAGCTGTATCTGTCAGTCCCTTTGGTGGGTTCTGATTCCCAAATCTGAGGTTACGAAAACAAATCTCTCCGCTTTTCCTCCTGTGTCCTGTCTCTGGACTCCACCCCCCACCCCACCCTGCCCCCACGGCCAGCCCTGCAGCTCTGTTCACGTTTCCCTGAACTGGCGCAGGCCCTGGTCATCTTTGCACTGTCTGTTACTGCTGCCTGGAACGCCCTTCCACCCCTCATCGTCTAGCCACCTGCTTGTCCTTCACACCTTCCTCCACGTGCGAAGCAGATGTGCCTCCTCCAGGAAGCCCTCCTGGACCATAGCATTTACATTTTCTCATTTACATTGTCCAGGGCTGGTGCAGCCTGAGTCCCCTCCGTCACGTGTCATGTGACCATGGGGGCACCAGTTTCTAAGTCCCTGCTCCCCCGCAGACTCTGAATTTCTGGCAATGAGCCTCACTTAGAGGCACAATGACAAATCAGTGAACCACTGTCACGGGAAGATGTGGATAAAGAACAAGACTCTTCGGGGTGAACCTGGATTCTAGTTGTCAGCAAGAGCATTGAAGAGGACGTGGAATGTGGGCCTGAACTGACATCATATCTGGGTGTCCTGTGAGGCCCGAGACTCTTCCTCTGTGACTTCTGGGTCCTGAATCCAGCCGAACAGGACCCAGATGCAGAGGAGAATGGACATCGCCCTGTACAGAGAAACTGGGGCCTGAGCCAGGCTCGGGGCTCGTGCTCAATCTCTCTCTGGGTCCATCTGACAGAGTCTGTTTCTCTCAGTCTTCGTCTATGTGTCTGAATCTGTCCCTCCACCCTGTCTCTTTCTGCATCCTTCTTTCTCTCAACAGATTTGTCACTCTGACCCTCTGTCTCTTTCTCTAAAGCACCCATAGCCCTGGAGAACGGCTCATCTCTGTCAGTCCTGGAGAGCCAGTCCCTGCGCCTGGTCTGTGCCGTCAACAGCAATCCCCCTGCCAGGCTGAGCTGGGTCCGGGGGAGCCTGACGCTGTGCCTCTCGCAGCCCTCGAACCCTGGGGAGCTGGAGCTGCCTCGAGTGCACCTCAAGGATGGGGAATTCACCTGCCGAGCTCAGAACCCTCTGGGCTCCCGGCACGTCTCCCTGAGCCTCTCCCTGCAGAGTGAGTGTCAAGGGCTGCACACCAGACCCCCAGCAACATCAACCTGCAGCCCCCAGGTCACCGAGCCAGCGGCCCCCTGGGCTCAGTGTGGGGAAGAGGGCTGTGCCCAGCTCAGCGTCACACTCAGCCATGAGCCCAGAGCATCCGCGGGGCCAGAGCCCTCCGTCTCCTGCTGGTCAGTCTCGGCAGGGGTTGGGGAGCCCTGTGCTGATGTGGCCCCACACGCAGGGACACAGCAAGGGCCTGGAGAGCCCACAGACAAGTCCCGATGAGGGAGGAAGGACACGGGGCTGCGGTTTCACAGGTGAATCTGGCTCATCCCACTTTTCCGCAGGGAAATTGGGGTCCGTGGCAGAGGTGGCTCTGGTGGCCATCGTGGAATCTGCTGCGAAGATCCTGCTTCTCTGCCTCTGCCTCATCTTCCTCAGGTCAGCGCTGCCCCAGGGACCCGGGGGACGGTGGGAGAGCCAGGGACACGGCGCTGACCCCACAGCCCTGTGCTGGAGGGACCAGAAAGGGGCAGGAGGGCCTGGGCCAGGCGGGAGGCTGAGCTGGTGGTGATAATCCCGCATGGCCAGTGGTGTCTGTTCCCAGCTCTGGACCAGTGTCTGGGATGGGGAGGTTCTTGCTGTCATCGAGGAGGCCTTGGGGCTAGACCTGCTCTCTCCTCCTCAGTCCCCTCCCGCCCCTGACAGGGCACAGGGAGGTGAGGCTGCTGCCCTCTGCACCCCGGTCCAGCCCCAGTGACAGGCCCTGGTCTGTTCCCTCAGAGTGAGGTCCCGCAGGGGGCAGACGGCTCAAGCAGCAGGGGGCGTGGAGGATGCAGACACTGTCACCGCCTAATCCCTGAGGTGAGTGACACACGGTCTCACCCTCCCACATCCCACTGGACACCTCCCCCATGATGGCCTCCAGGGTCTCTCTGCTCAGAATGGCCAATGCTAAGCTGCCCGTCTCCTCCCCGAGACCCCTTGTCCTGCTGGGATCCCTGTCCTCCTGATGACTCGGTGGCTGAATCTCCATATGCAGAACCAGGGTGCGGTTCCCCACCTTGACCCCCGTCCCCCACATCCGTGCGTCATTCACTCTTGTCCCTCCTTCTCCTGAGCACGGCTCATCCCTGTGTCCTTTTCTCCAACCCGGCCCTGGTCATTCCTGCTCCCTCACCTCTTCCCTGCTCCCTGAGTCCACCCCACCCCCTGCCTCCGTCTCCCCAGCGCAGGCTTCCAGACTGTGCTTCCAGATGCGTCCTAGTCCAGCCCCGCCCAGTGTGAACGACCGTGTTTCCCCCATGGCTGGAGAACGAGGAGCAAACGCCACGGCCGGGACTGGGGGCCTCGCCGGACTCTGCTCCTGATCCCTCCATTCCCTGCATCTCCCAACGTCTCCCCACACCCACCGGACCAAGTCCTCTGTGATCTGACACTTTGCATGTGTAGTTCCTTCTTCTGAAACACCCTTCCCTCCCCATTTCTGCCTATACATCCTGCTCATCCTTCAGGCTCAGTCTTAAATGTCACTCAGGGTTGTGTGTGTTCCTTGTATGCTTTTGAGTGGAAGAGAGACACTCAGTCCTTCAGTCATTCCTAGACTCATTCAGGAGGAATCACTGGACACCTACTACGTGCCAAGACTGTCACAGTGCGAGAGTCGCATCAGTTAATATAACTTCAACAATCTCTGTTATTCAAAGCTTTGAATAGTCGTGCTTCCAAAGAGGAGATACAAGAAGCCAATGAGCACATGGAAGGATGTCAATGTCATAGTCGTTTGAAAAATGCAAAACAAAATTACAAATGAGATGCTACTGCACACCCATCCTAATAGCTGTTATTTAAAGAAAAGAAGAATACAACAAATATTTGCAAAGTTGTGGAGAAATTGGAATCCTTTTGCATTGCATGCAAAACAGTGTGATCCTTGGTATTTCCTCCAGAAGTTAAGCTTAGAGTTAGCAAGTGGCCAGCTATCCACTCCCAGATATATTCTGAAAGGAACTGAAGGTGTGGACTTCAGCTGCTGCATCTAAGCCAGTGTTCGCAGCAGCATTACTCACAGCAGCTAAACGGTGGAAACAGCCCAGTGTCCACGGATGGATGAGTGGAGAAACAGAAAGTGGTGCTCACATCCCATGAGATATTCTCTAGCCTTCAACAGGGAGGGACAGAATTCTGATACATGCCACAGTAGGGGTGAACTCTGAAACAATATGGTAAGTGAAATAGTATGGTAAGCGAGACACAAAAGGACAAATATCGTGTTATTCTACTTATATGACCTGCCTAGAGTAGGCAAATTAATCGAGACTGAAAGTAGCACGGTGGTTGCCAGCGGCTGGGGCCCCGGCGGGGACAGGCAGGGATTGTGCAACTGGTGCAGGGTGTCGGTCTGGGATGATGAGAAAGCTCAGGAAATCGATAGTGGTCATGGTTGCGCAACACTGAGAATGTGCTTAATGCCACTGAATTGTTCCCTATGAAATCTTAAAAATGGCCAGGTGTTGACAAGGCTGTGGAGAAATTAGAATTCGTGTGCATTGTTGGTAAGAACAGAAAATAGTGCACCTGCCACAGAAAGCAGTACAGTGGTTTCTCAAAAAGTTAAAAATAAATGATGATATCATCCAGCAAATCCATTTCCAGGTATATACCCAAGAGGAAGGAAAGCAGGGACTTGTGCAGATTTTTATGCATGCATGTCATAGCAGCATTATTCAATGTAACTAAAGTGTAGAAGCAACCCAAGTGTCCATCAACAGACGCATGAATAATCAAAAAATGTGTTATATACATACAACACATATTGTTAAACCGTAAGAAGGAAGGAAATTTTGACACATGCTGCAACATAGATGAAACTTGAAGACATTAGCTAAAGGAAATTAGCCATTTGCAAAAGTACAAATACTGTATGATTTCACTTTGCCGAGGTATCTAGAATAGGCACATTCACAGACAAAAAAGTAGAAGGCTGGTTGCTGTGGGCCGGGGGCAGGACGGAATAGGGAGTTATCATTTAACGGTACAGAGGCTCACTTCGGGAAGACAAAGAAATTTCTGGAGATCAGTGGTGGTGATGGTTGCATAACACTGTGAATGTACTTAATGCCTCTCACCTGTATACTCAAAAATGGTTAAAATGGTAAATTTTTGTCATGTATATTTTCCTACAAGTTAGAAAAAAAAGCAGTCAAAGATTTTATCAGCCACCTCACCAAAAAAGAAACAAGGAAGGCAAAAATCACATGAAGACGTTCTCAACATCATTTGCCATTATGAAATTACTGATTAGAACCAGAATAAGGTAGCAGTTCATACCTATCAGAATGGCTAAAAAAGAAAAAATGAACAAAAAGAAATTTTTAAAAACTCTATTAATATCAAATGCTAATGAGGATGTGAAGTAACCGGAATTTATATCTGTTGCTGGTGGGAATACAAAATGATGCACGCACTTTGGAGAACGATTTGGCAATTTCATGTAAATTTAAGCTTACACTTACCATACAACCGAGCAGACTGACTCCCAGGTATTTACCCAAGAGAAATAAAAACCTATGTTCTCACACTCAGAAATCTATATGTGATTATTTATAGCAGCCTTATTTCATATTCAGCAATACCTGGAAAGAATCCAAGTGTTCCCAGCTGGTAAATGTATAAAAACGGGGTCCATCGAAACCTTAGCGTACCAGTCAGCAACTAAAGGAAACAAAGTGTTGATACATATACCCCATGGCAAGGATGACCCTCAGATGCCTATGCCAAGTGAGTGAATCCAGAAATTAAAAGCAACACTGCGTATGACTCCATATATATGGCACTCAGTAAAAGGCGTATAAATAGGGAGGGGAGAAGACATCAGCGTTTTTTCAGAGATCAAGTGTGGAGGGAGGGTTTGACTACCAAGGCACAGCAGGAGGGAATGTTTTGGGTAACAACACTCGTCAGTGTCTTGACTGTGCTTGTGAGTATATAGCTATGAATATCTGACAAACCTCATAGAATTGTATACGATGAAAAGTGAATTCAATGGTATCTAACCTTAAACGAATTAAAAATCTAAAAATCATAAGTTGCCATGACAAAAATACCTCCTTTCCATGCTACATGGAAGTGAAACATTAATGAAAAAGAAGTTTCTTCTGCACTGGTTCATAGAACCTGTGATCTCCCTTTTATTTTACCCGAACTCGCTGCCTGGTTCTTACTTTGGAGACATCAGTGAAACTTTGCAAATCAGTGTACTGGAGGACACGGAAAGACTCCATATCCATATTCCTTACAAAACACCATGCTGCCGTGACACATGGCAACCCCACCAGTGTCCACAGCTCTGAGGCCAGACGGCACGCGTGTGGTGAGGACAAGAGGCTATGGATGGGGAGCACCTCAAGGGCAGGGACCAGGCCAGTGGTGTCTCTTTTTGTCTCCAGCCCGACAGACACACAGACGCTCACCCTGTGTTTGGAGAATGGATGAGTGAATGAATGAATGGCTTTCACCTTCACTGTGCCTAGGAACCCTCTTCATTTCTTTACCCCAGACACTCACACAGACTCTACAGAATTCTACATCCTGCAGAACCCACTGCTGGGGCTAGACGAGGCTGTGACTCTGGGACCGGGCCAGGAGGGACCAGCTCCCTGGTGTAAACTGGTGCACAGAAGGGTGGAGGACCTCAGACCCTCACGGGTGCCCCATGCTGCAGATGTCCCCAGAGGTCCTGGTCCGAGCTCCGCTCCGGTGCTTGAGGGAAGCTCCCAGGACAGGGGACAGGACACAGATTCTGCTTCTTTTCTGTTCCTTCCTGGGCGGGTCTCTGGGGTCTCCGGGATGCACGGGTTTCTGTGGCTCTGTGCACAGCGTGTGAGCTCTGACCACTTGTGGGTCGGAGTTTCGTCTTCTTTGAACCGCCAGGGTCTCGTGCTCCTCCGCAGCTGCACACAGGTCCTGCCGCGCTCGCTCGCCTTCCCCTTCTCTGTGGGCACAGGGAGCCCGGGAACCCTCTGCCTCAGAGACGCTGCCGCCCCTGCTGCTCCTGCTGTGGGCAGGTGAGTGGCCGCGGGGAGGGGCCACGGGGCTGGACCGAGCTGACCCTTGTTTCCCCACAGGGGCCCTGGCTCAGGATCCGAGATTCCTGCTGGAGGCGCCGGAGTTGGTGACGGTGCAGGAGGGCCTGTGCGACTTTGTGCGCTGCTGGGTCACCTACCTCCGGTACGGCTGGACTGACTCTGTCTCAGCTTATGGCTCCTGGTTCCGGGAAGGGGCCGATATACAACAGGACGCTCCAGTGGCCACAAACAACCCAATGCTAAAGGTGGCGGAGGAGACCCATGGCCGATTCCACCTCCTGGGGGATCCGGGGAGGAACAACTGCTCCTTGAGTATCAGAGATGTCAGGAGGAGCGACAATGGGTCATACTTTTTTCGGGTGGAGTGAGGAAGGATAAAATGGAACTATGTACGAAACAAGCTGTCTGTGCATGTGACAGGTAAGGCTTGGGCTCCGGGGTGCCCACAGGGGGAAGAGGTGGGGGCCACAGGGCAGGGCTGGGCTGGGACCCCGTCCTGGGAGGGGCTGGTGGTGAAGCCTGTTGGGCTAAGGGGAGGAGCTGGACCAGAGCCTGAGCTCCTCTCAGGGCCACACCTCGGATGCTCCTTTCTGATCCTGCGTGTCCCTGTCTCCTCCCAGCCCTGAACCACATGCCCCACATCCTCCTCCCGGGGACCCTAGAGTGCGGCCGCCCCAGGAACCTGACCTGCTCTGTACCCTGGGCCTGTGAGCAGGGGACGCCCCCCATCTTCTCCTGGATGACAGCTGCCTCCACCTCCCTGGGCCCCAGGACCACCTTGCTCCTCGGTGCTCACTCTCACCCCACGGCCCCAGGACCACGGCACCAACCTCACCTGCCAGGTGAAGTTCCCCGGAGCTGGTATCACCACGGAGAGAATCACTCAATTCAATGTGTCCTGTGAGTGTTGGGCCAGGACACCCTGGTGGCTGAGGGTGTGGGGAAGATGGGGGGGCCAGGGCCAGGGACACTTGGCAGCTGTGACCTGGAGGCCTGGCTGAGTAGGGGACTTAGAAGGACACAGGTCTGTCACTCAGACATTTCAGTGGCTTCTGGGGTAGGGGAAGAATGCCTCACACCCCTGCCATCTAAGGAGGGAAATCCTTCTTCCTGTCCTAATATTCCAAAGAACGCAATGATCAGTGAGTTGCTAGGAGATGGCACAGGGCAGATGGAGCTCCCTCCCTGGGCTGTGGGAAGCAGGGCCTCTTCCGGCTCAGGCCAGGCCAGGTCCTTCCTCACTCTGCATTCATCCTGGTGACCAGAGACCTCCTTATTGATTCACCAAGTGGCCTCTCCCCATACTCAGCCCCATGACCCCCTGAGCATCTGTCCCCATAGCCCCCTCCCTCCCCTCTGACTCCTCCATGCACTCTCTTCTGCTCCCCAACAATCACAGGGCAACATTCGCACAGCAGAACCATCCTTTGAGGCCCTGTATGACCTGTCTTCTGAGAACTCCTCCAGCCTCTACTTTTTATTTCCCCCCAATACTTTTACACACTTCCAGACACACGACACAGTCAACTGGGCAAAAATTCAAAATGCAGTGCAGAGTCTGTCCTCACTGTCCTCCCCAGAACTGGCCAGTGTCCATACAAGCTGCTCTGAGCCTTGTCTGTTCACCTGAAGGATGTCACACATGGTTTGACATCAGTAGCCAGACTGTCCTCGTTCTCCTCTGGGACCGTGTGGTGTTCCACTGAACGGATCGATCCCAATTCTGCAAACACCTTTTTGAAATGGAAAATCTTGGCATTAATTTTATTCCAACAAGAGAAACATTGCCATGAACAATCTCGTGTGTCCTTCTGCAAGTGTACGTCTAAGTCTGTGAGATCAATTCCTAAAAGCAAAATAGCTGGATCGTACGTTCTAATGTTGAGAAATATGGCTAAATTGTTCTCAACCAAGGGCGAATATGTTTATACTCCCAAAAGCAAGGGGTGAAAGTGAGTGTTTTCCTCAACCTAGTGTGGAATGAAACCTTTTCATTTTTGCCAGTATCAGGTAAAAATGGGTATCTTCAGATAATTTTTTATTTACATGTGTTTTCCATTGAGATAAAATTCACATAACATTAAATTCACCATTTTGATCATTTTTTTTTTATTTCAGCATATTATGGGGGTAGAGATGTTTAGGTTACATATGTTGCCCTTGCCCTCCCTCCCCCACGAGTCCAAGTTTCAAGCGTGTCCATCTCTCGGATGGTGCCCATTGCACTCTTTGTGTATGCATATACCCGTCCCCTCCTCCCCCTGCCTCCCCCCTGTCCGACATCCAATGGATGTTATTCTTATATGTACACTTATGTGTTGATCAGTTAATACCAATTTGATGGTGAGTACATGTGGTGCTTGTTTTTCCATTCTTGGGATACTTCACTTAGTGGAATGCGTTCCAGCTCATTTTGATCATTTTAAAGTGTATGATAAACATGGTATTTAGTACATTTGCAAAGTTGTACTATCATCCCACTATCTAATCTGAGAACATTTTCATCATCCTAAAAAGAAAGCCTGTGCCCATCATTCCATGACTCCCCGTCTTCCCCTTCTCCGGCAAACACCAGTCTGTTTCTGCATCTATAGATTTGCCTATTCTGACATTTCGTGTAAGTGGAATCTTGTGTCTGACTTCTTTCACAGACCATAATGTTGTCAAGGTTCATCCATGTAGCATGTGTGGGCACTTCATTCCACTTAAGTCTAAATAATATCTCATTTTATGGATGGACCACATTTTGTTCACTCGTTCATCAGTTGATGGACTTTAGGGCTGTTTATACTTTCTGGCTATTATGAATAACGCTGCAGGGAACATTCCCGTACAAGTTTTCCTTCATATGTGTGTTTTCATTTCTCCTGGGCATACACCTAGGAGCGGAATTGCGGGGTCATGTTGTCATTCTGTGTTTAACTCTTTGAGGAAATGCCAGAGTGTTTTCCACAGTGTTGGCACCATTTTGCACTTCACCAGCAATGTATGTGGATTGCAAATTCCCCACATTCTTTCTAACATTCTCATTTTCCTTTTTTTAAAAGAATTAGTGCAGTATCACATTGCATTTTCAGTATGCATTAACATAGTGATGAAGGATGTTGAGCATAGCTTCATGGACATATTGATTATTTATATCTTTTTTGGAGAAGTTTTTACTCAAGTCCTTTGTTCACTGATTAATTGGGTTATTTGGGTTGTTTGTAATTTGAAGTGTGTTTTTTATACATGCTGGTTACTTGACCCTTATCAGATGTATGACTTGTAAATCTATTCTCCCATTCCGTGGATCTTTTTACTGTATTGATAGCATCACTCAATGAATAAAAGTCTTACATTTTGATAAAGTCCAAGTTAGATATCTTTTCTCTGTCCAGCCACTACATATGAATAGCCAGGTATAGTTTGGGGTGAGGCCTGGGCTGATGTGGTCCCACTCTAGGGATGCATAAGGGGCTGGAGAACCAATGCCCAGTGTTACTGGGAGAGGAAGGACACGGGATTGTGGATTGGCAGGTGAAGCCGCCTCATCGCACTCTCCGGCTGGGCAATCAGGGCCCGTGGCACAGGTGGTTCTGGTGGCCACTGGGGAGGTGGCTGTGAAGATCCTGCTCCTCTGCGGCTGCCTGATCTTCCTCAGGTGAGCACTGCCCCAGGGATCAACGGGCGGTGTGGGCAGGGCAGGGCACATGATGCTGAATTCCGGAATCTCAATACTTGGGGTCCTTGAATAGTTTAAGAGGACTGGGGCCAGGCAGGAGGCTGGTTTGCTGGTGAGAACTCTACACAGGCCATTTGTAGCCTGTGTGGGTCCCAACCATGGGCCAAATGCTGGGGTGGGGAGGTTCCTGCTGTCATCGAGGAGGCCTTGGGGGCTTGGGGGATAGATCTGCTCTCTCCTCCTCAGTCCCCTCCTGCCCCTTAACAGGGCACAGGGAGGTGAGGCTGCTGCCCTCTGTACCCTGATCTGCCTCCACTGACAGGCCCTGGTCTGTTCACTCAGAGTGAGGTCCCTCAGGAGGACTGTGGCGTAGGCAGAAGCCATGGAGAATGTATATGCCGTCGTGGGCTAATCCCTCAGGTGAGTGCCGTGGGCGTCTCACCCTCCAACATCCCACTGGACACCCCCCCACCATGGTGGCCTCTAGGATTGCTCTGCTCAGCATGGCCAAAGCTGAGCCATCTGGCTCCTCCTCAAACTCATTTCTCCTGCTGGGACCCCCATGCCACTGATGGCAAGTGGCCCCATCTCTGTAGCCAGAACCAGGGTGAGGTTCCCCACTTTGATCCCCCTCCCTCACATCCATGCGTCACTCACTCTTGTCCCTCCTTCTCCTGAGCACGGCTCATCCCCGTGCCCTTTTCTCCACCCCGGCCCTGGTCATTCCTGCGACCTCACCTCTTCCCTGCTCCCTGAGTCCACCCCACCCCCTGCCTCCGTCTCTCCCCAGAGCAGGCCTCCAGACTGTGCTTCCAGATGCGTCCTCATCCAGCCCCGTCCAGTGTGAACAGCCGTGTTTCCCCCATGGCTGGAGAACGAGGTGCAAATGCCACAGCCAGGACTGGGGGCCTTGCAGGGTCTGTCCCCTGCCTGACTCTGCTCCTGATCCCTCCCTTCCCTGCATCTCCCAACGTCTCCCCACAACCCCTGGGTCAAGCCCTCCTGTGACTCTGAGGCTTTGCCTGTGCAGTTCCTTCTCCTGAAACGCCCTTTCCTCCCCACTCCTATCTCTACAAGCTCTGATCACCCTGCAGGCTTGGTCTCCAGTGTCATCCAGGGGTGTGTGTGTGTGTGTGTGTGTGTGTAATTCTTGTATGATACAAAGTGGAGTGTGACATTCATTCATTCATTTATAGACGTTTTTGTTAACTATTACTGATCACCTACTATGTGCCAGCAGTATTGTACATGCAGGGGGTTCATCAGTAGACACACAGTCAAAAATCTCTGTCATCATAAGCTGTTGTTCTGGAGACTAGAAGGAGAAGAATAAAACTGAATAAATAAAGAATATTTGACCGTGTTCGATGACAATGTATGTTTAGAGAGAAACAATGCATAAAAAGGAGAGTATGATACACTGGGGACAGGTTCCACGTCTGACCGTGTGAGGAGGTGATGTCTGGGCACAGACGCGAGGGCGGTGAGGAGTCAGGCTCTGGGTCTGAGGAAGGAAAAGCGACCCAGGAGGAGGGAAGAGGGGAACAGCGAGTGCAGTGCTCAGAGGCAGCTGCCTGCCGGGTGCTGTGCACTCTCCAGGGGCCCGTGTGTAAGAGCAGAGGGTGGCAGGAGGAAGGGAGCAGCGGGGGGTGGGACGGGGCTGACACCCAGGAACCCGGAGCCTTTGGGGACAGCAGAGACACAACTGTACTTGCACCGTGACAGGTCCTGTCAACTGCCCTGGTCAGACTGGGAAGGTGCCGCCGGGGGAGGGATGGTGGCTGAAGCAGGGCGGCAGGGCTGGGCTGAAGACGTGCTTTGGGACGCGTGTTGAAGGTCAAGCCGACAGGGTTTTCTAATGGGCGTGGTCGGTGAGGGGATGGGAAGACACGGATGATGCTGGAATCGTCCCCTGAGCACCTGGAAATAAGGAGATGTGTTCCATGCAGGTCTGCAGAGAGGAGAGATTTGAGGCGCAGTGTTAATTTTGAGGTGTCACTTGATATGCAAATGGGGATGTCAGAAAGACGAGTGGATACAGTGCAACACGTGTGCGTGGGAGTGGGAGCCTGCCACTCTGTAGAAGACATTGTTAAGACAGCCAAAAAAAAAGTTACAGATCGGGAGAAAATATGTAGAAATCGGTATCTGATAAATGACTTGTATCCAGAATATGTCAAGTACTGTCGAAATAAAACAATCAATAAATACCAGAAATAACAAAACCCACTTTCATAAAAAAAAAAACCAAACAAAAAGAAATGGACAAAGGGTGTGCATGACATTTCTAGAAAAATACACAAATGGCTGATAAGCATGTGAAAAGATGTTCAACATCACTAATCACTAGGGACGTGCAAATCAAAACCACAATATTGAACACCAAGTTGTACGCCTTCGACATGTACAGTGGAAAACAACAACAATTAAGAAACAATCACAGTGAGAAACTACTTCACACCAATTCTAGCAATTTCATATAAATATAAACTTACACATAACATGGAGACAAACACCTGACTCCTAGGTATTTTCGAAAGAGAAACAAAAACTTGTGTTCACACACAGAAATCCCTGTGTGCATATTTATAGCAGCTTCACTTCATAGTCACCTAAACTTGGACGTAAAATTAATGTTCTTCAATTGTTAAATGTGTACAAAATGGGTGTCTATGGAAATAGCAGAGCACCGGTCATCAATAAAAAGGAACAAACTGTTGATTCACACACTTACTCTCATGGATGGCCCTCAAAGGGATTATGCCAAGAGAATGAATCAGAATTTAGGCTACACTTTTTTATGATTCCACTTATACGACATTCTGTAAAAGGCATATCAGCAGGGATGGAGAAGTGATCAGCATTTTTTCAGAGATTAAGTGTGGAGGGATGGTTGACCACCAAGAGACAGCAGAGGGAATGTTTTGGGCAGCAGCACTCTTCAGCGTCCTGACTCTGGGTATATAGCTGTGTGCACCCGTCAAACCACACAGAACTCCATATGATAAAGAGTGAAATCGACAGTATCTAAAATTAAAATGCACTAAAACTTTTAAAAATACAAAAAGCCACTACATTCTCACTAGAAATGATAAAATATAATGACTGACAATAGCAAGTGTTGATGAGGTTGTGGAGCTACTGGAATTCTGGGGCATGGCTGGGAGGGGTGGTAAAAGTCAAAACCGTGTGGACAACAGGTTGGTAATTCCTACTAAAGTTAAACATACAGACAGTCTTTGATCTAAGGATTCCTCTTCTTGTGTATACTCATGAGGATAAAAACACGTTTATGAAAAAAGACTTATACCTGAATACCTATAGCAAAAACTGGAACATCCCAAATATGTACCAATACTGAATAAATAGAAGACCATTGTACACCCATACAATGAAATACTACTTAGTAATTACACAGGGTGGACTACAGGCACGTACAACTTGGTACACTGTCAAAAATATGCTGAGTGACGGAACCCAAACACAAATGAGTAAATTTTTAGAAAATTCTCAAATAGACTAAACTAATTCACCATGAGAGACAACAAGCAAGGGTTTCCTGGTGCAGGAGGTGAGAAATGTAAGCTGCAAAGAGGTTCAGAAAAGTCCTTGGCATAATGGAAACATTATATATCTGGATTGTGGTGGTCATAACAGGGCTGTATACACTCATCAAATCTCGTGGAAATGTGCATTTCAAGTGGGTGCACACATAATTTACATAGATTTTCATGTGAATTGTATTTAATAAAGCTCATTATAGAAGCATAATGAGACTCACATCTTCATATTTAACCTTCCAGTCCATGAACATGCTAGGACTTTCTTTATGGTTAAAATGGAATATACTGGGCCGGGCGCAGTGGCTCACGCCTGTAATCCTAGCACTCTGGGAGGCCGAGGTGGGCAGATTGTTTGAGCTCAGGAGTTCGAGACCAGCCTGAGCAAGAGCAAGACCCCGTCTCTACTAAAAATAGAAAGAAATTAATTGGACAACTAAAAATATATAGAAAAAATTAGCCGGGCATGGTGGCACATGTCTGTAGTCCCAGCTACTTGGGAGGCTGAGGCAGGAGGATTGCTTGAGCCCAGGAGTTTGAGGTTGCTGTGAGCTAGGCTGACGCCATGGCACTCACTCTAGCCCGGGCAAAAGAGTGAGACTCTGTCGTAAAAAAAAAAAAAAAAATGGAATATACTGGATTTTCTATTATGCTCTACATTTCTAACATTTAAAAATAATTTACCACAAAGTATTATTTTACTTATTGAAGACTCAATTCCTTATTTATCAAGTGAGGATGAAAATAGCTCTCTATATAAGTAAAGATGAATGAACATTTATCTAGACACTACTATATATAAAGATTTTACCACCATATTTTGGAAAATACTATTATGTCTTAGGTATAAAGGATTTGTTAGATGCATGCTACATAGAGTGAGATGGAAAATCATATGAGCTGAACCTACAATTTTAATTTCATCTGTATATTCCATTCATGTTGTCAAGAAATACTGTCTTATGAGCCACAGTTGACTATGGAAAGCAGATTTTTACAAGAAAAGTAGTGCTAATCTATAGTGTGATGATGCCCTTTAAAAAATCACTCCTAGGCCAGGCGGGGTGGCTCACGCCTGTAATCTTAGCTCTCTGGGAGGCCGAGGTGGGCGGATTGTTTGAGCTCAGGAGTTCGAAACCAGCCTGAGCAAGAGCAAGACCCCGTCTCTACTAAAAATAGAAAGAAATTAATTGGACAACTAAAAATATATAGAAAAAATTAGCCGGGCATGGTGGCACATGTCTGTAGTCCCAGCTACTTGGGAGGCTGAGGAAGGAGGATCACTTGAGCTCAGAAGTTTGAGGTTGCTGTGAGCTAGGCTAACGCCACAGCACTCACTCTAGCCAGGGCAACAGTGAGACTCTGTCTCAAAAAAAAAACACTCCTGTCTCCACTGCAGCAAATTCCAGCATTAATACAAAAAAAGCTTCTTCTGCACTGGTTCACAGAACCTGAGTTCTCCCATTTATTTTACATGAAGATGCTGCATGCTTCTTATTTCGGAGATGTCACTGGGACTTTGCAAATCAGGGTACTAGCTGCTAGGGAAAAAATTCCATCCCCATATTTCTTAAAAATACATATGCTGCCATGACACATGGCAACCCCACCAGAGTCCACAGCTCTGAGGCCAGACAGCATGTGTGTGGTGAGGACGCGAGGCTATGGATGGGGAGCACCTCAAGGGCAGGGACCAGGTCAGTGGTGTCTCTTTTTGTCTCCAGCCCCACAGACACACAGACGCTCACTCTGTGTTCGGAGAATGAATGAATGAATGGCTTTCACCTTCACTGTGCCTAGGAACCCTCTTCATTTCTTCACCCCAGACACTCACACAGACCCTACAGAATCCTATATCACGCAGGGCCAACTGCCCCACAGGTCTACATGAGGCTGTGACTCTGGGAATGGCCAGGAGTGACCAGCTCCGTAATGTAAATGGTGGTGCTCAGAAAAGCATCTCAGAGTCGGAGGACCTTAGATACTCACGGGTGTCCAATTCCTCAGATGTCCCCACAGGTCGTTGTCAAGGCTCTGGTGTTAGAGGAGCTCCCGAGATGAGACAGGGGATGCAGCCTCTGCTCCTTCTCCTCTAGACTGGTGTCTGGGATCTCTGGGCCCTGGGTTTCAGTCTGCTCTGCTCAGAGGGGGAGAAGCTCCGGCCACACGTGAGTCTGAGCTTCCTCCTTTGCCAAACTCCGAAGTCTCGCTTCCTCCCCAGCTCCGCCTGGGTCCCGCCGCCCTTCCCCGCCACTGTCCTTCCCCTTCTCTGCTCGCACAGGGACCGCAGGAATCCTCTGCTCAGAGATGTTGCCTCCGCTGCTGCTGCCCCTGCTGTGGACATGTGAGTGGCCTCAGGGAGAGGGGCTGTGGGTGGGGGCTGAGCCAAGCTGACCTTTGTTTCCCCACAGGCGCCCTGGCTCAGGGTCTGAGATATCAACTAGAAGTGAAGGAGTCGGTGACAGTGCAGGGGGGTCTGTGTGTCCTCGTGCCTTGCACATTTCTTCATCCCCAAAAGTACCCCTACAGGATCGACTCTGTTTCTGGCTACTGGTTCCGGGAAGGAGCCAAAGAAGTGCAGGATGCTCCCGTGGCCACAAATGTCCCAGCTCGCGAAGTGCAGGAGGAGACCCAGGGCCGATTCCACCTCCTTGGTGATCTCCAGAGAAAGAACTGCTCCCTGAGGATCATAGATGCCCAGAGGAAGGACAATGGGTCATACTTTTTTCGGGTAGAGAGAGGAACAATGAAATGGAGTTACAAATCTCCCCAGCTCTCTGTGCATCTGACAGGTACAGCTTGGGCTCTAGGAGCAGCCCACAGGGGGAGGAGGAGGGGGCCGCAGGGCAGGGCTGGGTTGAGACCCCCATCCTGGGAGGGGCTGGGGGTGAAGCCTGTCGGGCTCAGGGGAGGAGCTGGACCAGAGCCTGAGCTTCTCGCAGGACCTCACCTCGGACCCTCCCTCCTGACCCTGTGTGTCCCCATCTCTTCCCCAGCCCTGACCCACACACCTGACATCCTCCTTCCGGGGACCCTGGAGTCTGGCCGCCCCAGCAATCTGACCTGCTCTGCACCCTGGGCCTGTGAGCAGGGGACGTCCCCCATCTTCTCCTGGATGTCAGCTACCTCCCCCTCTCTGGGCCCCAGCACCACCCGCTACTCGGTGCTCACTCTCACCCCACGGTCCCAGGACTACGGCACCAACCTCACCTGTCAGGTAAAGTTCCCCAGAGCTGATGTGACCACGGAGAGAACCATCCAGCTCAACGTGTCCTGTGAGAGCTGGGCCAGGACACCCTGGTCCCTGAGGGTGTGGCGATGTGGTGGGGGAGCAGGAGGGCTGGGGCGGGGGAGACGTGGTGGCTGTGTCCTGGAGGCCTGGCTGAGTAGGAGACCTGGAAGGACACAAGCCCTCATGCTTTTCTATGGCTTCTGGGGCAGGGGAGCAGTGCCTACCCTCATCTCACCCCCGCCCAACTAAAGAGGGAAATCCTCTCTTCTTGTCCCAGATGGTCCATAGCGCCCACCAGCTGGTGTCTCTCCAGGAGATGGCCCAGGTAGGCCTCCGTCGGGCTGTTACTGCTGCAGGGTCTGTGCTGGGTTTGGTCATGGCTGGACTTCCAGAGTCAAATTGTTGCAGGACAGGCCTACAGTTAGACACAGGTAGCCCCATCGAGTGTCTTGATTAAGGACATTTGGAGAGTGACCAGCAACTTCCTGTCTTCATGTCCCATGTAGTGCTCTTCATTCCTCCCTTCACTGAACAACTTGGGGGCATTTTGAAATTGACCTTATTTGTTAGAGCAGTTTTAGGTTCACAACAAAATTTACTGGAAGGTAAAGTGAGTTCCCATATTCCCTCCGACCCATCGGATGTACAGCCTCCCCCATTATCAACACCCCCTGCCAGAGTGGGACATTTATTACAATCAGTGAACCTACATTGACACATCCTTGTCACCTGAAGTCCATAGTTGACATTGGGGTTCACCCTTGGTGTTGTACATTCTGTCTCCCATCATTCTACCTATCATAGGACCTCAGCCATGTCAGCATTCCACGGGCTTTGACAAATGCATAATGACATGCATCCACCTCAATAGTATCATATACGAATAGTTTCACAGCCCTAAAAATTCTTTGGGGCATCATTTTATTTAATGTCAATGCCTCAGCCCATAGCTCTGACCTCTGTCCAAAGACCAATGCTGTCTCCACTGCCCCATTCCCTTTGAGAATGGCATCTCGTCCCCTCGCTGTAGAGGTGGCACCACTGGGCCAGGGATAATTCCCAGGTCCCTCAGCAGTCCTCATCGAATTGTTGCCATGCGATGCTCGGAGACACATCCCAGGCTCTGGGTGTTGGGATCCCAGGAGGCACAACCAGGCAGGTCCAGGAGAGCTGTTCAGGTCTGACCGGAAGCTCAGGGAACCACCTCCCTGCCCACCCCACTCCCAGCCCCTCTGGAGGCACAAAGGACCCACTTTGACTCTGAGTGACAGGACCAGAGAGGAAACTCAGATAGGCTCCCAGGGAAGAAAGGAGGGAGACGGTCTGTCAGCATCCCATAGTTCTCTCTCTCCATCTCTCTCTCTCTGAAATGCCAAGGGGGCCCAGAGCTTCATGGTCCTAATGAGGCCAGGTCTGGGGTATGTTGCAGGCTGGACAGGAGGTGTTGGGTAGACTGTGTCCTTCGTCCCATGGGTCTGGAAATGGCTGAGGTACTATGATGGGTAGAAGGAGCTAAACCCAGTTTCTGAGGTGAGGGGCCCTTTCTACGTGCTGGAGAGTAGGGGGCACATGCAAACTTGTTTGTCAGGACTGGAGTTGACCCCAAGTCTCTGTCGTCTGCAGGGAAACCAGACAGCAGGGTAGGGGTGATTCAGGGGGCCGTCGGGGGCGCTGGTGTCACGGCCCTGCTAGCTCTCTGTCTCTCCCTCATCTTCTTCACGTGAGCATCGGCTCTGGGTCAGGCATGGGCCGGAGGTGGAGAAGAAGGACTTGGAGTTGGAGGGACCTGGAGGGCTGGGAGGGCCTGGAGCAAGGCAGGTGGTGCAGTGGTGTTGAGGATCCAGCCAGTAGCTGCAGGGCTGGGCGTGGGTCTGTCCCCAGTCCCAGGTCCCAGATGAGCAGGAAGTGAGTGGGGTGGGGACAGGGGGACCTTGTTACAAAGTCTGGTTATGAAGGGTCCTGGGCTAGTCCGCGCTCCACCTGCCACAGTCACTCATTCCAGGTTAGGGACAGTGACCCCACAGCCTGAGCAAAGCAGGCTCAAAGGCCCTGGTGTCTCCCACCTGGGTGAAGACCCACAGGAGGAGGGCAGCCAGGCCAGGGATGTCCAGGAGTGACACTCACCCTGCAGCAGAGCCCACCTGCCTGGTGAATGATGGGGCACCCGGCGTCCAGTCTGCCCCGCAGACCCCTCCCCAGGGGGGCCCACAGTCTTGCCCCATTCAGCATGCCCCCAGCTGAGCTCATCACCTTCCCTCCTGTTTTCGTAGGATTTAGTACTATTCAGACAAGGCCAACAGAGCAGGAGGCCACTGCCATTGAAACGATAGTTTGTGCCTATGTGTCACCACCCCACGCAGGCCATGTGGAGAAGCACCAGGGTCAGACAGAGGGCAGAGGGAATGAGGGGGCCATGTGGGCAAGAGAGTGATTTTTTTATGGTGGTTTTCTTGGAAAGAAATGGGTGACACAGGTTTAGGATTGGCCCCTTTGTATAACTGCAGCAGACTCTGGGGTTTAGGGGCTGTCTCTAGTTGTCTGGTACCTGCCCTTTGGTGTTTAGAGCAGGAGAATAGTGTCCTGCGGTGTAAGAGCTCAATGAAGGACGGGTTGGTGGCGTGGGCTTTGGATGGACTGGTTTGCACAGGAAAGGTGCGCGTAGGTGAGTCCTCTGCTGTCTCTAGACACCTGCCGTCCCGGGAGAGCCAGTCTCTGTAGGGTCAGCAAGGCCCCAGCAGTCAAACCATCAGAAGGGCATGGTTAATGCACCCCTAAACATGCTCCTCCTGTTGGGTTATGCGTCTCACTGGTGGCAGTCTTGTCCCCATTGCCCAACTTGAGACCTGGCCCCATCTGGCCCAGTCCTCCATCTCTTCTTCCTGTGCCATATGCCACAAGCGTGTCTGGGCTTCTTCTGAACACGGCTTAACACCCCCGCTCCCTCTGAGCCAAGCCCCCTTTACCTCCTCATCCTGCTGCAGCCCCACCTCGCATCTCCCTCCCCAGCCCATGAGTGTCACCTCCCTAACAGGTCATTGTCCCATCACTCCAGACATGGAAATACACTGCTTCTCCACACTGCTGAACTATGAGCACCCAAACAGCTCGGTCTGGCAGTCGGGGCCGGAAATCCAGGGTCGCCGTCTATGCTGTCTGCCCCCACGCTCCCCTCTCAGCCACCTCAAGCAGAGCAAGCTTTCTGCATCTCAGGGCCAGTGCTCGGCCAGCCCCCATCCTCACATGACCACATCCACCTGCCCCACCCTGCTCGTCCTTTGAGCAATGACTTTCATTAATGTACTCAACTCCCACTATAGTGCACACCACCGAGAGGGTTGGAACCCAGGCTCAGCAGTCACCTGTTCCTTCTGCAACTGTCTGTCTGCTCCCACTTGCCAATTATTCTAGGGGCTTGTGACATTTCTGTATTTTTAAGAACACGTATTTTACAAATGTAAAACATCCCAGCTGTCAAGATCTTACCTTTATTGGGGAGTGGGATGAAAATGATGAACAAGTAAGTCGTGCAAATACACAGGAAACAGGCGGGAAGTGAGTGCTATGGCAGGAAATGAAGTGGGAGAACGGGAGGGAAACCAGGGGCTGCAGGGGGGCCTTTGAGCAAACATCTGCAAGAAAAGAAAGAGCACAATGTGAGAGCTGAGAGAGTGCTGAGAACTCCAAACACAGAGCAGCACACAGCAGGGCTCTCAGACCAGAGCTCATCTGACATGCGAAAGAAACAGAGCTTAGGACAGTGCGGTTAGAGCAGAGTTGTGGGCGAGGGAGGGGACTGCGCAATGGTGGGTAGGAAACGAACTTGGAGAGACTGGAGGCTGCAAATCTTGCAGGGTCCTGCAGGCCACCGTAGTTATTTACACGTTTTAAGCAGAAGAGTGATGTGAACTGGTGCTCATTTTAATGCTGCCGTGGGAGAGGCACGTTGTAAGAGGTGTGGAGGAGCGCAGACCAGGTAGAAGGACACACAGAGATCCAAGAGATGACGGACTTAGTCCTGCGTGAGTTCGATGAAGCTCATGTGGAGAACTTGGGCTCTGGAGACATCTTGGAGATGAAGCCACCAGTATTTGCTCGTGAAGTGACCGTGCAGGGGCGCAATGAGCAAAGTTGGCCCACGGCTTCTGCTTGATGGTATCACAGAGGTCAAAGGTGGCTCCACAGATGTCCTGGGATGTCATGGATGTTCGTGGATGTCCAAGATGACTCCACAGATGTCATAGACGCTAAAGATGATGTTAATGCGGTTGCCCGAAATTCAAACTTAAGGAACTGAATTGTCAATGACTACAATTGCCAACGCTGCAGTAGGAGTATATTTTCAAGAGTGGATCAATCATCATATTGGTTACTGTAAATTTGAAGGTGTTGTGAGACATCTAAATGAAGATGGCAAGTAGAGGGCAAAAATCTGGAGTTCAGGAGAGGGGTCTGCGTGGGAGACCCCTTGATGTGGGGCACTGCAATTCAAGGTCTGATGGTGGCTGAACCCGCAGAGAAGAGATGGGGTCCACACACAAAGCCTTGGGACCTGCCAGCATTTAGCCTCAGGGAGATAAGCTGGAAACGGCAGGAAGCCTGAGAAGGAGTAGCCATGGAGGAGGAAGGAATGACCAGCAGGGTGCAGGGTCGGGTCCTAGTGGCCAAGGGGAGAAGGGGCTTCAAGAAGCGGAAACTGGTCATGTGTTTCAAGTGCTGATTCGTTCAGTAAGACAGGATCTGAGAAATGACCGTTTGAATGTAACCACGTGGCATTACAGCTGATCTTGTCAAAAGCAGATATGTTTGCCTGGTGGGGGAAGACCTCTCGATTAGAAAGAGTTCAAGAGAGAATGGGGAGAGTGGCTGTGGAAACTGTGATGGCCAAGGATTCCTTTGACAAATGTTGCAGTAAATCTAGAGCCAAAAAACGGGCCTGCAACAGGAAATGGCTGAACTCTGCATCTTTGCTGGTTCAGGCAGCATCTGACACTGTCTACGATGACACCACGTGGGCCTGTTTCCATAGGGCTTGTGGTGACTGTACTCCCGTGGCTTCCCCACCACACTGTGAGCTCCACAGGACAGGTTGGGTCTGATAAGACCTCTGTTCTTCTACTCTCTCCTGTTCACCTGTGCGGTGTCACAATTTGCCATTGCATGTTTATTACCAGTCTGCTTCTGTCTTCATCTCCCTCAGTGCTGGAGGTCGCAGGGCCCACCTCTGCTTTGCTCCCTGCCTGTGGAGTTAGTTCCCGGCACGTAGGAGGTCTCAGAGAGCTCTGGGGTTCAGTTCAATAAATGTGCTAGCTTGAGAAGTACCTAACTTCCCTGAGACTTCGTTTCTCTGTAAAATGAGTAAAATAATAGTGTTCTCCACATAGGTCTGTGTGAGTGTTCAGGAGAATTGGAAATCAGTTAGTAAGTGCTCCATGCGTTCATTAACTGAATAAGTGGGATCGTAAGAAATGTTTGATAAAAGAATAGAAAAGTGAATAAATGTCCCCTCAGAATCAAACTCACTTCATAGACCCTCTCTGCTTTCTCCCGGTTACCCTCCCCACTGCCCTTCTCTGGCCGCCTTCTCTCCTCTCCACACAGGAACACCAGAAGACGTCCAAGTCCCACGGCCCCACTGACGCATCAAGCTCTTTGGGGGCCACCTCCACTATGGGGACGGAGGAGGAACTGCATTATGCCTCCCTCAGCTTCCCTGGATGAATCCTTCAGAGGGCATCTCCAGCTACTGCTCAGAGATCAGGAATCAGTGAGGAAGTGACAGGAACATTGGACTGAGCCAGAAGGTCCACATGCTCTATGGGAAGGGAGACCAAAGGCTGACTCTTGGAGATTGAACACCCTACGTGAAATAGCTTTATAGACTATATGTGAGTTACCTGTTATATTGACATTATCTTAGACTTCGTAATCAGAGAGACTTGGGAACAAATCTGTGCTTTCTCATTTGCTAAGAGCATGACAGGGTGAGCTACTTTACCCTCTGTGTCTCAATTTCCTGCTGTGTAGAATGGGTGAACGACGTCCTGTCTCACAGGGTTGGTGTGAGGATGAAATAGAGGTGCACATGGAAAACACCCATCCTGGTGCACGGTGAGAGTTTCCTGCCTACTCATTACTTCTCCCTCGGACAGAAAGGAGTGAGCGACATTTGGTTCAGAGGCCCGTGTGGACAGTCACACAGACTGTATCCCCGCCATTGATCACGTCCCAGACTTGCCCTCCAAGGTCACCACTTTCCATTTCTGAACCTTCCCTTCTGATACTACCTGCCTCCTACTAGAATTTCTGCTTCCTTTATGTCCTGTTACAGGGAAAATCACATAATAGCATTTTCGGAATTTTCTACAACTCAGAGCTGACCGTGGTCAAAATACTGCCCCAATTCCCGAACCCAAAGAATGATTTGCAAGTTTCTCAACATGAGATTCTAAGTCAGAGAAGGGCAAACCTTATTTGTAAAGGGCCAGAGAGTAAATATTTTAGGCTTTGCAAGACATAAGGTCTGTGTTTCAACTATTCAACTCTGCTGTTGCAGTGCAAAGGCAGCCATAGACAATGTGCAAATGAATTAATGATATGGCTGTTTTCCAACAAAATGTTATTTAGAAAACCAGGCAGCCCACAGGCTGTGGTGTGCTGACCTTTGTTCTAGGTTGGTCTGAATCTCTCCCAGTCTGCTCCTCCATGGCCACATCTGACCCTCAAGCCATTCTTTGCAGACCCTGTTCTGATGCTTCCCTCTCTGTCTGTGCACCCACATCCCCCTCCAGAAAGGCTCATCACCAGGTCCTCATCGGGTAACACCTTCTCGTCCTTCTAAATGAGCTCCAAAGTGGATGTCTGGGTTCAGATGGCAGAGGGAGTATGGGCTCATAATGTTCCTGCTAAAAACCCTAATTAAATAATGAAAACCAGTTTAAGCAACAAGAGCCCCAAATTCACCAGCAGCTCCCAAGCCATGACAGAAGTGAAAGCACTATGTCATAAGCTCAAAATGCCTTTAAATAAACACATGGAAGATTTTTGTGTTGCTTAAAAAAGTGCCTGATGCCTGAGCCCCACTTCCTTATCCACAGAAAAAACGGCTGAGTAAGACTTCCGTCTTTGACAATGGCAGGCGGCTGATATGGATCAGCCTGCCTGATAAAACCTTAGACGCTGACCGTTAGACTTCTGATCCAGACAGGGTGGCATCGGCCCATTTTTTCCCCTGCCCCTCTCTTCTAAACACAACCATAAGCCCTGTAAATGGTCCCAGAGACAACCAAGGGAGAGCTCCGAACAAGTGGTTAGAAGGAGGAGAGCTGGTTTCTGACCCCAGGACTAGAGGAATGACACAGAGGCCATCATCATGTCTGCCCCCACCCACCACCCATCCACCTGAGGAAGGACACCCAGACCCACCGCTGCCCAGCGCTGACTCAGGAACACAAGGCAGGTGGCCTCACTAGGCTCATTCCTGTCCTGGGTGAATGGGGAGCCATCTGACATCGTTGGTGGGTCTCCCATCACTGGAAGGGGGGATCAGTTGGAGCCAGAAGTAAGTGGCCAAGAAATGCTGCCCTTGCCTTTCAGGCCTGACACTGTCCTCTTCTGCCCAGAGACACTGAGGCCAGTGCACAGAGCTGGAGAAAGGGACCAAGTCACAGAGTCCAGATTCCTGACCCTCAGTCTGCTCCTCTGTCAGACATGAAGTCTAGCTCCTCACTTTCAGAGTTGATTTTTATTCTTCCATGAGGCTGTTATGAAGCAAGACAGGTACAGAAGCAGTACAAAGACCAGTGAACAGAAAGGTTTAGCAAGCACATCCTCCTTCCCTGTGGCTCAGCCAGGTGGGGCAGACAGACATTGTCCATAGGAGGGACATTGCCTATGAGTTGACAAGAGGAGGGAGAAAAGGAGCTGGAGAGAGGGCCCAGCACCACCCACTGCTGTTGTCTGTTCCCGTCCTGACACCATCCATCTCTCTCCCACTGGCCTGAACAGTCCCAGCCTTTGCCCTCCTGGGCTAGGTCCCTCCTGGGACCAGAAGCCTCTGAGGTCAAGTCCTCCTGCAGAGCTGGCAGGTACTTGAGCTCAAATTACACACAGTGACAGCTCCCCTGCCTGGGTCTTCCCAGGGGCCAGAGTGTGCCCTGGTGGGTGGAGCATCTTCCCTGGGGGGTGGGGCGGAGCCTGGATCAGACTCCAGTGTAGAGGCAGCAGGAGCCCAGGAAAGGGTCTAGTGACATCCCAGATCAGGGCAGCTGGTCAGAGATGTCTAAGACCCTCCAGGGAGTGTGTCCATCCTCATACTTGGGCTCCTCACCTCCTCTGGGTATTAACTAGGGATCGGGGCAGTTCTGGAGGAAGGACAAGAAACATGGGAATCCCCAGTAACTATTTGGGACTAACAAAGCTGGTTTGGAACATCATTAGTAAGAAATCATTAATCACTCCAAGAGGGGTCCTCATGGAATTTCACAGCTATTGCAAGAGCTGGGGAGAAATCAGGTTTCCTTTTAATGTTGTAGCTGTCCTGCTACAATAACTGCAAGGCTGCTATTTTTCTTTCTCCATCTGAGTTGATTTGCATTTTTTCAGTCTGGAACACATTTTTCCTCTTTCTATGTTTTCTCACATTTCTGTCTGGAGCCTTCTGGTCTCGCGTTCTGTGATCTCAACCCCTCCAAGGCTCCCACCCCAATTTCTGCCCAGACACGTCCTGTAGTTCCTTTCTAGCCCAGGCTGTTTAAGCCCCATAGTCATGAAGTGGCAAGAAGTCTGGGTCCTGTCGGTAGGGCTCTGAGACCTAGAAACAGGAACCTCATGCCACCCAACATTCCGCTAGGTGTGCCTCTCTTTCTGGTCCTCACCCTGCTCAGGGGCACCCACCTGGGACTGGCTTCCTCCTCACCTGTGGCCTCTCCAGGATCTACTACACCAGGTGTTCAGCATAAACAAATAAACATAGACTAGTAAAGCATCTCTAGATGTCTTAATGGTTCTGATAAATTCACTAACACAAGATCTTACATTCATTAGAACTTGTTTGGCTTCTGGTAACAAGGTAACCCCAAGGAGCCCTCTCCCCAAGGTAACCCCTTATCTAAGTCCTCCAAACCCTAGAACAGGGCTCACCAGCTGATGTCCCCAGAGCCAGCATTTTTAGGTCTGACAGCGCTACTGGATTTCCTGGCACGGTTGGAGGTTTCTAGAGAAGGAGGGAGGAGAACAACTGGAGTTCCTTTCCTCCTCAGGACAGAAGAAGATTCTGGACATGGGAGCCCAGCGGGAAGGGCCAGATGGGGACAACATGGTCATTATCTCCCGAACCTCTCTCCCCACTCCTCACCCACCTCCGCATGCCAGAGAAGCACTCTGCTGATTTGGCCCTGCCTCTACACAGAAAAATAAACTTCTACTCGCCTCTCAGGGTTGGTCTCCAAAACTGTTTCCTCTGGTTGTGCATGTGCAAATGCAAGGAGAGGCAAGGCAGACATAGGTATGTAGTTTTTTTCTTCACCAAAATTAAACCAGTACTTCGTGCAAGATCCTGCTACTTGTGTATATACCTTTCTGTGGATTTGGTAAGCCTGCCTGTCAACACGTATTTATCACCTACTGTGTGCGAAGCAAGTCCAAAGTGCTCGGGACAGACGCACCTGGGACTCGCTTTCCAAGGTGGAGACTTCAATATACAGTTAAGGAGACTTCTCCTCTTACCTGTTCCCCGCCCACCTCCAATCTGCTCTCCACAGCGGAGACAGAGTGAATTCTAAACACCCAGTGGTGTCACTTGTCTGCTCCCTTCAGGGGCTCCCAGTTGCCCCAGTGGAAACAGGCAAAATCCTTAAGATGAGCCCAAGATGTTACAAGGTCCCTCTGACTTGGCCCAGGAATAGGGGGCCTGTTTCTAGGGCCTTTGAACATAGCACACGCCACACAGCAAATGCATGCAGAGAGGCGAACACAAATTTCTTCATTTTATTCTATTAAAGGATACTTTTCCCCAAAAGGGTAAAATCATGACTCTCATGCAAATGTGACATTAGCACGTTAAGCATTTTAACTCATGGGCGTCAAGCTCCACCTGCCTCGCCGATTGGCTACGGAATAGACCTGCGTGGCCGCTGATTGGCTGAGGCATGGACGCCCACACTGCCCGAGGCGAAAGGGCGAGACCCGGCGCGACCGTCCTGCGCCTCCCACTGAAGACCGCTGGCCGCGTAGGACCGCGCCCGGCCGGGGGCCGCGAGGCAGCCACAGGTCGGTTAGGCCGCCAGCCGGGTCTCAGGCCTGTGAGGCCGCCGCAAGCCCCTTGGTTGGACAGAGACCAATTCTGGATCGGCCAGACAGGAAGACTAGGGACTAGGCAGTCAGGTCGCCAGGGGCCCTTTGTGAGTTCATCAGCCCGTCACTGCCACGCCGGTCACCTGGCCAGCCTGGAGGGCAGCCAGTGGGTCTTTGGGCCACCAATAACGGTCTGTCGGTTAATGATCAGGTGAGTGTCCTTATGAGTCAACGGTTAATCGCCTTGTAAATCAGTTAATCAGATAATCTACCCCCTTCATAGCCTGCTCTGTTGATGGGTTAACTAGGCTCCCACTAAGTCTCTTCGTTTAGTCCCCCTCCGAGGCACTCAGGCATTAGCCACACAGTCGTCCCATGTGCGCCAGTTCATCAGTTTAACAGTTAGTCGTCATCAGTTTCCCTAGAAAATTCGTTTTTCCGTTAGGGTAAGTAGGTCAGTCATTCCTAAGTCAGTGCTTCCCTTAGAAAATCGGGAACACCTTTGTATCACTTACACCCTGCTGTGGAAATACACAGGTGGAAGGTAAAACTGAGTGATTGTCCAAGAAAATTGTAAGTGGGTGCATGAGGAGTCATCCCATGTGTGTTCTAAAGCCCGGCAGAGAGGAGCAAGAAGAAATGAGAATTTTATAGCTAGACCGATCCTTATATTTCCAGCAATAAACCCACTCATGTTACAGATGAGGAGATAAATGGAATACCAGAGAGAGGAGGAAATAGTTGACCAAGGTTATTCTGTGATTTACTGTTAAAGCCTGGGCCAGGACCCAGGCAGGGCTCATTCCAACATCCAACCTGAGGTTTTTTTTTTTTTTTTTGAGACAGAGTCTCACTCTTTTGCCCGGGCTAGAGTGAGTGCCATGGCGTCAGCCTAGCTCACAGCAACCTCAAACTCCTGGGCTCAAGCGATCCTTCTGCCTCAGCCTCCCGAGTAGCTGGGACTACAGGCATGCGCCACCATGCCTGGCTAATTTTTTCTATAGATTTTTAGTTGTCCAATTAATTTCTTTCTATTTTTAGTAGAGACGGGGTCTTGCTCTTGCTCAGGCTGGTTGCAAACTCCTGAGCTCAAACAATCCCGCCCGCCTCGGCCAACATGAGGTTTTAAATTGGAGAAGGGGCAGTTAAAAACGGCAGTGCAGAAAGAAAGTGGTTATGCAGTGTGAAGGAGAGAAGCGCTTCATGACCTGGTGGCCTGGGCAGCATCTTTTTTATGTGGGAAGGAAAAAGGGCAATCAGTTTTGACATTCGGAAGTTAAGGGCTAGGGCAGAGAGACCACTCAGAGGGGTCCCGTAAAGCATGCAGAAATATGGCATAGGAAAGAAAAGGGCTAGTTCCAGAACACTGGGAAGGGATTAGAGGTGGTCAAGAGTGGGCCCAGATCAAATGCTAACAGGAGATAAGCAGGTAATTTAATAACTGGTAACAAACATTTATCAGGTGCTTACCATATGTGAGGTTCTGCCCTATGAACTCATTTAATCCTAACAACAACCCTATAAAATGGGTGCTGTTACCATTCATGTTTTACATATGAGCAAACAGGCCTAAGGAGAAGTGAAGCAGCTCGCATGTTATAATACAACTAACCTTCATTTCCGGGTGATTTGACTTGAATTTTTTTTTAAAAAAAAAGAAGCTGGATGTTTGGATTTTTTAATGAAATATCCCGAGTTTTAAATGTAATCCCATAAAAAAGTTAACTTTAAAAAGTAAGCATTTAGTAGGCCAAACAAAATCTCTCTATGGGTGAAATCCAGCTAGGCTACCACAGAGTTGCAATCTCTGAAGCAGGCTGACAGTGAGGGAAATGACTTACGTACAATCACCCAGGAAGTGGAGGCAAAGATTAGGTCTTCTGCCTTCTGGTCAACTTCCAGGAAGAATCTAAGTATACTGTGTATCACATAAAGTCGTAGCTGAAGGTATCTGTGACTCACAGCGCTGTACAATTTACAGATCTTTTCTTGCATGTCTTACCAACCCCACTTGGTAATCAGGGCTACCTGATTTATTCTTATATTTTATTCATGAGGAAGTGGACTTAGAGAGGAGAATGGACTGGACTATGCTTATACAGCGGTTTTGAAAGCAAAATGGAATCATGGAAAAGACTACATTTGGAATCAAAGGTTGAGTTTGCAATCTATCAGCCTCATGGCTGCGAGCCTTTGGACCAGTCACGGTTGTTCTCTGGGGCTGTGCCTTCCTCTGCAAAGTGGTGATAATGAGATCTGTCTCACAGAGTTGTTGAGAGGATTAAGTAAGATAAAATTTCAGAGTCTCTAGAGGTGTAAATGGCAAAGATAGTTTCTCACTAGATGTTAACTAAAAAGTAGTTACCAGTCGTTGCAGCATGATTCAGTGATTCATAATTGAGTCATAATAGCCAGAGTGGAAACAACCCAAATGTCTATCAGATCATGAATGGATAAACAAAATATGGTATATCCATACAATGGAATATTGTTCAGTGATAAAAATGAAATGAGTACCGATATGTGGTACAACATGAATTGCCCTTGAAAACATGCTAAGTGAAAGAAGTCAAACACAAAAGGCTACATACTATATCATTTCATTTATATAAAATGTCCAGAATAGGCAAATTCATAGTTATGGAAATTGCATTAGTGGTTGCCTAGGACTTGGGGGCTTGGGGGAAATGAAGAGTTCATGGCAAAGGATACTGGGGTTTTTTTGGGAGGGGGATGATGAAAATGTTCTGGAATTAGATAATGGTGACGGTTTCACATCTTTATGAATATGCTAAAAAGGCCTGAATTGTATAGTTTAAAATGATGAATTATATGGTGTATGAATTATATCTTAATGAAAAGATTAGTTATAAAAAGAAGATAGTTTCCAGTAGAACCATGGCTAAATAAAACCAAAAATTCTAGGGAAAACTGGATGTTCACATGCAAAAGAATGAAACTGGATACTTCCTTCATACCATATATAAAAACCAACTCAAAATGGATTGAAGATATAAATATAGGATGGGATACTGTAAAACTATTAAAAGAAAACATAGGAAAAAAGCTTCTTGACATTGGTCTGGACAATTTTTTGGA